GTGCGTTCACGAATTGAATATATAACGTGAATAAACCTACATGGGTGTTCCATATGGACTATTACTTTCTTCTTCATACATAGTAGTAGAAAGATTGATTTCATCAAAAGTTTTGAGTTTGAGTTTTGGTCGTAAATGCCCATTTTGAATCACCCTGAACCCCAAAAAATTTCTTTTCGAAGTTATGTCTATGTGTGTAGATATTTACAGAGCTACAGATGGCACATTTGGTCTGATTGCGATAAAATTTGGTTTGTGGGTACTAATCCGTAGTAACTCCAGGGATTTTTCATATTTTTAATTTTAAATTTGGTTGTGAGTTTCCCATAAAAACCAATAAAATAATAGAAAAATCTGATTTTTACAACAACAAAAAACCCAGCTCTAACGATTTTGATTAAAATTATGTACGTTATAAACCCTTTAATTCGGAAAAAAATGGCAAAGACTTCAAAGTTTTAGCAATTTCGGTTCAAAATGTATTGGCGTTTTTGTAATTTCCCCCATAAAACTCATGCATAGTTACCCCCTCACAGTTTACACACTACAATTTAATATAAAGCTATCCAAAGAGATAAAATACGTGTTAGATTGCTGATATCTTATATTTAACAATCTCATTCATCTCCCATTACCCAATAATTGACCATCCATTATACTTTGATCTATCTGTTCCTAGACCCAACTAGCCTAGCAGATAATTTGGTTCCCAAGCGTTTCCGGATCAATTCCGCAATTTAATTTTCAAAAGCACAATTGCCTAGCTGATCGTCTCTAGGGTGGTCGTAGCACGACGTGCCCCCCTGCCCCCTCTCAGTACCCCCCTTGTACCCTCGGGGTGTTTACACTGTGGGTCACTAATCACAAGGCCGCGTAAGATCATAGTCATCGTTGATCAATATCAAATCACAACCCTGCTGTTTGGGTCCAAGATTAGAACAGATTACGCTATAGATAACGTTGAGTATAGGGGGCCGTATTTCATCACGAAAGGATTTTGTTCAGAGGGTATTTTAGCTTATTTAACTGTGGGTTTTAGGTTTGGCTGTAGGCTATTTTGAGAATATTTTTATGAGGAAAGTCCAAGTAATTTGCTTTTCATCCACACACTTTTAAAGTTAATTTTGGAATCGAAGATTTTCCCCTACTTATTTAACTAATTTTGGAAAATCCTATTATAAGTGGGGGAAATATACCTTAAAATGACTGAAATCTTTGAATTGTTAACAAAAGTCTTTATCTAAATTATAAAATGCAATATTGTATGTTATGTTACAGTATCATTTGTTAAGTGAGTTTTCCTTATTATGTAGTTTAAATTCGTGGTTTAAGAATGTCTGAGTAATCAATTTATTCAGCGACTAATGTAGTTCAAAGTTATCACATGGTTCAAAATAATAGATTAAAACGTTGTACCTATCACAAAATCAAGAGAGACTAATTGTTCACTTATCAACAAATACGTTAATAGTGAGTACGGTAATTTAATGGCACATTTATTACCAGGCTTCGAGTGCCAACTAATATGCTATCATTGTGGAAACAATTGATTTTCCATGACGAACTTAATATAGCTGTAACATTCCCGTAGTATATTATGCAGATTGAAACACTAAAGCAGATTGAACCATGCGTAACCATTCATGATTGGTTATTTTACGACTAAAATAAGCTATGCGTTTGTTTAAGAATTCACCATATAAGAAATAAGCTATCATAGTATACCCTGGACCTGGACCGAGTTAATTTTTCGTTTTGATATCCAGAGAGACCAATAACACCTTCTGTTCAAACTCGTATGTATTAAAATTGACCGGATGATGTTTTATGTTATAAAAATTGGTATTCCCCATTTTTATCCTCAAAACATACAATTTTTCAATTCTTTCCCAAACCCCGTTGTGAGAACCTAAAAAATAAAAAAACAACACACTTAAGCGTTGTTGTACGCTAAATTTATACGGAGAAAATTCTAAAAAAATAAAATTTGAATTTATAATTTTAATGTTTTTACCATGAGGATTAAGTAAACTATTGCAGTTTCTTTGTTTATAGGTTTTTTTTTAAAGAGCGGCAAAAGTCTGAAGGTTTGCCGCGGTGGGGAAAAATAATATAATATCCAACCAAACCTGTTATTTTTTTAACAAAGTCGGCTATAGCTGATCCATAATGTATGCTTCAGTACCCAAAAGCCAATGGTTTCACCTTTAACCCTCCGTCTCGGTTAAGAACATTCCATCCTCATAATTAAACTTAAAACGTACCAAATGTTATCTTATTGGACGACTTTTCATTGTGCCAGAACGGACCTCATTCAGTCCCTATAAGGAAAGACAGCCAAACGGCGCGCGGCGGCACGGAGAGTAAAGAAGAAATAATAGAGACATGCTGTCATCAGTCAGCTGTTAGACCAACAGCTGATGATCTCTAAACTGTCTGTCGTCCAGGCTCGTGTCAGTCTTGATATAATCAGAGTGTTTTGTATCATTATCATCAGACCGAAGCGTGTGACGTTCATTGAAACATGTACCGTTTGCAAAATTACTCTTCCAAAATATTACTTGTAGTTTTAATGGATAAAAATTGTTATTAGAAAAACTGTATAAATTATTTTTTTGTAATGTAGAACTAGGAGCTATGCAGTATAAATGTGATTATATTCCTTGCTGACAGAGTGGATTCTGAACTGTTTTGCTTAGCCAAAAAATAGGTCTATATATTTTTTATACAATAGAAAACTGTAAGAAAATTGGACTCTTGACGACTAATTTTATTACTAGTCTTGTTTTATACCGTAAAGCACTTTGAGATTGAACTTTTTTAAACCGGAATAAACAAACATAAATAAGAATTGTTTTTGCTCTGATATGTTTTCTAACCTCTTCATTTACATAATTGGTACTTGTTTATCTGGAGAAATTATTTTGGAAAAAGAGCTAACAATGGAATCTTTTACATATATATATTCCAAAGGCCCAAAAACGTTTGTTGGTGTTTATTCGATTTTATGTGAAAATGTTTTATATTTTTGTAGGGAACGGCCAGAACTCTTGTTTGGGTTTTTTACGATATAGCAATGCAACGCAATATGGTAGGTTTTTGTATATAGTATCATTAACTGATGGACCAACGGACATACAGCATCTGAGACCAGAAATTCTTCTTCTTGTGATCAAACCTACAATTATCTGGTTGCTGTATAATTTTCACTGTCAAATTATTAGCATGTAATTGAGAGCGCGTGAGAAATGAGATTTGTTTAGTGTGCGAGTCATAGGACGATAACAAACCCCACAAACTTGTGTGTTATTTCTTCAGCTTTTTATGTATTTTGATATATTTTTTAAGAAGCGTTAGATTTAGCTGCCCTCAATCAACTTCAAGGCATTTCAAATCTAGAAAAGATGCGGTCCTTTTGGAATTTCTGGAAATCACATTATCTGCAATAATTTGATTCTTGTTTTCAAAAATCTTGTTTTAGGTGGTAGTGACCATGTGTGAACAACTCCTAGTAACTGATATGGATTAAAAATACCTTTTTATCAAGTTAAAATTAGCAAAGTATTACATGTTTCTACTGAATCTGTTCCTGCTCTCGCGGAAGATGCAAAAGGGATTTTATTTTATAAACTTGTCAGATCAGCAATATTCAAATATATTAATCAAATGACGTGTTGAATAAACATTGCATGTGTTAAGATCGTCAAGCACCAATGAGATTACGCACTTCCTGGACCGCTGTCAAAAACATCCCTTACAAACATAACACACTGCGGGTGTTTCTTACTTTTGGAGCTTTTGCCAAGGTTGTTTCAATTCAGTCATTATCCTTTTCTCCAGACACGTAAAATAAATTTCAAATCTGATATTGAGAAACTTCAAACCCTTATTTTTACTTAACCACTGTAATGTTAACATTTTTGAAAATTTAAATTTCATTTTTCCTAACTTTTTATTTCCTTAAAGTCAAGAAAGGGTTAAAAATAAGTTAACTGTCGGACCATAACCAAACCATTGTTCAAGAACCTTGGGCTTTATGAAAGGGTCTAACACCTCAATTGTAAGGCATACACATTTTTACCCAGTTCTAGATTAGCTATAGAGATCTTAAATTTGGCTCAATCAAATGTCTTGGTCAAAAAACACCAAAAAAATTTGAAAAAGTGACAAGTGTTTAAAACAATCCCTCTTTTAGGAAATTGAAGGTTTTTTCCAATTTCGTAAGACAATACAGTACTGAACCAAAAAATCCAATATTTTGGATTGTATATCTTAATTTACAACAAATTACAAAATCATACTACTGTACAAGTCAAATTTAACACCCATTAATCCCAACTTGAACGAGTTAAGACTACATTTTTAGCAACATTATAAATTTCTTCAATTCCTGGTATACCACCGTTAAAGTTTTTGTATATTTCTCTTGTTTAGAGAGGTTCTGATCACAGTCTGAGACTGCGTTTTGTATTAGAAATTATATATCAATTAATTAGGTGATCCTTTTAAATATTCGATACCCAAACAATTCTTCTCCGTATATATTTGTTTTCAATTCAATATTTGCTCTAGCCTATTTTAAAACATCAGTGAAAGAGCAGGCAATGTTGTTTCTAGTCATCTACGCGACGACGTGCCATTTACGCCATCTACGCGAAGCCGTAGAACCTGGGAAAACTATTTCCAGCGTCAATTTTTACCCATAAGCACCGAACTATGCGACCCCATTTTTGTACACAATGCCTTCCGCTCTTCGGCGATATAAACACTTTAACCAAGGACGACAGCAATTGTTTTAATTGCTCTGGGTAGAATTCCCTTTCTACTAAACGATTAATAAATTCTGCAGCGGAAGAAAGTGCAATGCTTCCCATAAATCTTTGAGAATGCAGGTCCGCAAGTGCAGCGGCAATGGCACTACTTTTACCGCACTGCACAGCTGATTGTCGAGATCTGTGAGGCTATAAAGGACGAAGTTTCCCGCCGGCGCGCCAGTCGCAGACCGCGAGTGCTAGGTGATAGTGGAGTTGTGGTTAGGTTAGGTTGTGCTATACTTCGGATATACGTAAGTAATGTGTGATCTTCTTTGAGAATGTGTTAATAATATTGTAAGACAATTTATAATTTGTTTGTCACGGTAAACAAACAATTAGTTGTATTAACATAATATTTTTAACTTATTTTTATGAGTTACTCCAAATAAACTAATTCCTGACTGCATACTATATAGTATACAATAGGTGATATTTATTTACTACTGGGTTATACAAAATGTATTCGCAAAGAGTGATTTCATATTGGTAGGATTTTATTTATTTTGGCTCAAAAAATAATTAATCAATTTTAAACCAACTGCAATGAATTTTAACCATGAATGTAGTGCGTCCAAAGTGTTAATGTCCAGAATCCAAAATTGTGTGGATATAACAATTTTTAATAAGAAAGTCCATGAAAACAATGATCCAATAAAATCTCAGCATTGAAAAGTATATTCGCATTTACAAAATATATCCAGGGATCCAAACGTTTGTCAACTCACTGTCTAAACCTTTTAGTGTACATTTTTAACATACAAATGAATTGCTAGGCTCTTTTATACATTAGTTTAAAAAAACCATTTCACTTTTATAGATTTTCTAAGACTATTCATTATTGAACAACCAACTATTTTAATGTTTTAAACAATATTAGGCCAACATGTCCTAAATCATATTCAACAACCACAAATATTGAATTTTAAATCGAAGTAAGACGCATTACTGCCATGTTAATACTTATACTTCCTCAACTCCTGGTATACCCACCTTTAAAGTCTTTGTATATTTCTCTTGTTTTCAGTGATTGTTTTACTTATGTAAAATATGTAATTAAGTGCGATAAACAAACCAACTCATCTTATAGTTTAGAGTTTGTGATAATCTTAATTGTAAGTTAAAATAGTAACTTGTGCATACACCATAAAATATATCAATCAACAATACAATCATTCGACATGTTTATATGAAAAAAGTTATGTTGTGTCCGAGCATAGAATTATTGTTTATTAGCAGGAATTGTTTTATAATAGGCCTACTGTAGAATAAATATAGATAGTACTTCTATTTATAATGTCTTTTTTTTTGCTATTCTTCGACATTACATCAATACATGAATATTTTGTCTACAATTTGCCAACACCGTAAAGTCCATAATATTATTCGTATTGTGAATTAGATCTTTTATAGTTTATAATAAAAATTATCGTCCAATTACATATTACCGTGAAATGAAAACCCCCAGTACAATTATAGAGACCTTTACCAAAAAATACCAAATGCATTGAGTCATAGATTGGTTTTTTTACTTTAGATTCCTTACAATTTGATAAGAAAGTCAAGTTTAATCAATTGTTTGATTTATGATTATATTATAATATAGCAGCAACAGTGTGAACATCACATAGTTTCTGAATGGCGTTATTAGTGTTAAAACTTTAAATGGTACCTTGATTATCATTTATATACTTTAAAAAATAGTTCCTATCCAATAAATAAATATATTCATACGGCTTAATTTATCTTCTATTATGTACAAATTAGGTTTACCAATTTAAATAATGGGATTTTATAGGATTATAAATATTCCGTATATTATTCCTCATGATTATTTTTTTTCACTCTCCGTCACAAGTCATCGTTTTTTTTTTTTTTATATTTGTGATTTTTGTTATAGCTAACCTTAACTTCAGTTTTAGCAAACGTCGTTCTAATTATAGATGAAAAACTACTTACTAGTTGTACATATTTCAAACTTATTGCAGCTCATCTTCTGTTAATTATAAATGTATGTGACATCCTATTGTATATTTTATACTGAATTGCAAATGAAATCTGTTGCATCTTTTGAAGCATTCGTACAATAAATTTAAAATAAATCACATCGAGCAACGTGTTGTCTCTGTAATAAGCTTGAACAAGTACACAATGAAACATATGTATGTTTGACACTTCCTGGAAAATGTTAATATATTTTCAACTATAATTGCATATTTTTATACCTTCTACAGATTTTTTTTTCTCGAGGATTTTCAAACAATCTTAACATAGTCATAAAAGGTCTAAAAATCCTGATTAGGATTAGGTTAGGTTAGAGCCAAAACTTAACTTTAAACTTTAATCTAACCATTTCCTATGAATTATACAAACAACCAAACCTTCAGTACTTCTAAACTGGATTTGTGGACAAGTATAACATTTCAATGTAAAACATAGTGGTAGTGAATTAACAGAAAAGGTCCCAAAAGGGGTTTTAGAAATAGGTATCAACATGTTCTTTCCAATCGTACTCGATTAGTTTTCACATCGGTTTTCTACAAAGTTCCATTATGGTATACATATGCATTTAAAGTCAATGAATGACATAAGTCTGACAAACTGCATTATTGACTTTGAATTAAAAGTATATCTATTAACATATTGTAAACTATTTCTGTTTTTTTGCATGTTAATAATTGAATGCATCTATGTTGATAATTCTTTTTTTGCGTGTGTAAGTACTTTATTGCCGTACTAATGTAATAAATTATTCCGCAGTAGTTATTCATAAGTTATTAAAAATGAAGAAATAAATATAAAGCATGACCTCTAATAATGTTTACCAAACATTAACAGACATAAATATTGGCATAGGTTAAGTGCAAGACTTTGCCTGAATAAATAAAAAAATTTCTTTTTATATCATTTTTGACATTAATATTGTCTTCAGGAGATCCTTATGGGTGATAAATTTACAAGGGATACTAATTAAATTTAATGTTATAGATCTATGGCAGTTCATTATATGTGGATAGGTTATACACACAAGGGCTTAAACATAGCCTGCGATGAGATTGGTAAACGCCTATTAAAGCTCAAGATGGAAAAGCCACAGCGTGTAATTTTGATGGTCCGGGAACAGTAATTTTCGGGAATTCTCACAGAAACAGGCGATAGCTCGACAGTATGAACACTTTGAGTACATGTTCATTTGGAAATAATTGCTTATTATTGTTCCCGTTCAAAAGTTCAGTTCAGTTAATTTTGTACTGTACCGGCTCACCACTAGCTTCGCTTCGTACGATACGCGCATTCGCCTATTCATGGTTAAAAGAGACCACCAACCTCTCAAATAAGAAGCATACACTCTTTACAGAAAATAACACAAAGTACACCCAAGGTTTTAAAGTGAGATGGATCATCTTCACCTTGAAACCCCGTTAAAAACCAGTAGGCCTACGCTTATTTTTGTAACATGTATATTTTTTAGTGGAATGAAATATTTTTTATTTTGATTTGAATTTGTGCTTGGAAGTTAATTAAGTTGTATCAATTAACTTGTTCGATTTATAAAGGATAAGGAGTAATTGTAATGTATTAACATGATGACCATACATTTTCAGTTGTAACTACTTCTGACGCGGTTTGGAAACGATTAAATTACGTCCACAATACTTGTTATTATGTTGTTATGAAAAAATGTCAAAAGCACATCTATTTAGCATTTAAAAAGTCATATCAAACGAATACAAGTACAAATAGATCGAATAAAAAACAGCTTAGTTTTAAAATGAGGTGCAATCTGACTAGCAAGTCCTTATTCTACCTAATTTTACAACATAAAATTGTAATATCTCGACCATCTTTTTGACTTGACCTTTTGGAACTTGGTGTCGTTTGATAGGTCGTTAAAAATGCCGAGTAAAAGTATTCTTGATTTTTTTTATATTATCAACCAGTCTTTATAACTAAATTTTTATGGCCGCCATTTTGATAATATAAATCGGAGTAAGTAATTTTTTTTCTATCTTGGGTTCTTCTATCTTAACATTCATACCAAGTTTCATATAACGGTCGGTTGGACCACTACAACCATAAAAATAATTGTTTGTAAAAATAAAAATGGCGGTTATCTGGATAACAAAGTGATTTTGAAAAGAAGTTTCATTCTTGATTTTCTCTTCACATTTACCCATTTCCGAAAGTTCATCCTAGTTGAAGCTAGACTCCCTGTATATTGATAGTGAATTAACTAAAAAAACCCTCTTTTGAAAATGCTAGAATTAAAATGTATTTAAACTATGAAATGGCAAAAATTATTAAACTTATTAAGAGTCGAAAATAAAATAATTTTTTTTTAAAGCCTCACTATAACACAACCTGACAATATGCATATGATTTTTAAAAAATTTTAACAATTTTTACAGTAAAAAGTTCTAGCTCAATTGAGTCGCCGGCAGAGTGTACGTCTGTAAAATACTGTAATATATATTCTTTGTATTACAATGTTTTCAATTATAACTTAAAGGGAGCGTAAACTATGATGGGTACACTCAACTGTATTCTTTTTGCTCAATAAAATCAACTGTTATCGGTAATGCTATTCCATATATATTGGCCGTCTACTTTAGTATATAGAACAATGGTAATAGTGTAAACTTGATGTAGGACCACGCTTTTTCAAGCAACGAACTAGTAAATAATGACATTATTCATAAAAATAGATATTTGTGTAACAAAAACTAGTGCACGTAGTTGCGAGTGTGGGAAGTTTCTCAACTGTAGCAAAGACACTTCGCGCTCGCGTTACACATATTTTTCCTACAGTTACTATATCTATATAAATAAAATTAGAGTTTTGTCTGTACATTGCTTAGAATAATGAACTTTTTGGTTATTTTTACATTTCATAGGTCAGAGAAACCGAATCAAACCTTATCTCAATTTCTGTCCGTCTGTCTGTCTGTCTGTCTGTCTGTCTATCTGTCATTCTCTTGGTAACGCTAAAATACGCACTTTATTACAACTACTCCTCAATAACTATAGCACTGTCCCGCCTGAAACTTATTTTCCAAATACTATACATATATGAGATGGTTTTAGACGTATTTCATCGAATATGAGACAGTTAGATATTTAACAGTAAACCCTTGAAAATCAAGTTTTTGTCGATTTTTGACGTGGAATTTCTGGAAGCCCATGTTAACCTTATGAGAAATGAAATTATTGAATCTTAACAGCTGTTTCAATTAAACAAGTTGGTTCTGTTCTG